GAGGTGGGGTTTCCCCTGTGGATAAAAGAATCTAAGGAGCCTCAGACTACACTCAGGATTCATGGTGCCGTCAGTGGAGCCTGGCAGAAGAGAGATGAGGTTTACTTCCAAATGTTCACATCTTTGAAACAACTCTGTGGAGCTATGTCTTCATTATCCCCTCACATTCCCCTCCGTGGAATTCTTGCAGCTGAACAAATCTATGGCATCATTACCTGCCTGACCCAGGATCCTCACCCCACCTGAGGCTTTCCCTAAACACACCAGCACACATGCAGCACAATCTTTCCACGATTGCGCTGCCACTAACCATCCATACTAGGATAAGTTCCCTTGGGCTTGTATTCTTCACCATCGTTATTACCATCTCACTCCAGTCAGCCTGTGAACATTTATACACTGGTATAGGGGTTGTAACTTTTATTGCTTTAATAAGTTGACAGGTATATTTCTGAGCACATGCTATACTCTTCTAATGTGTTTTATGTTTAATCAAGCCAATTAAATACTTTACATCTATGAGAAAGCTCCTCTCTCCCCTAAAAAATTGATGCAATATCCTTCCTTTTTCGGGCTTAAGATAAACCATTTTGCTTTCATCATTCATGTACACAGATATACACTATATTGTGACATTGTCATTTTCTTGGGTTCTTTTTACTGGTACTTTAGTATCATATGGTTTGATAAGAAATTTTCAATTAATAAAACATATAATAAAAAGAACACTAGGCATTGGAAGATAGGAGTGCTAAGCTTAACTCTACCCTAACCAATTGGGTAGTTTTGATCTGGCTCTGTGTGTCCAAGCCCTTTGTAATGGCCTATCGAGGGAATGTGATACCAGGAAATGCACAGACTTTGGAAGAAGGAAAATCTGGAGCTGATTCTTAATTTTATCTCTTCCTGCTCATACAATCTGAAGAAAAGTAAACTTTTCCAAGCTTTTGTTGTCATGCAAAGTTAGATTTAATTTTACTCTTAGGTAAATGAATTTTGAGACGGTAAATATGGGACTGGCTGCATAGCTTAGTGGTAGAACACTTGCCTAAGATGCACAAGGCTCTCGGTTCAGTCCCCAGCACTGCCAAAATAAATAAATAAACAAATACACACACTAACAAAAAGCTAATATGTAACATCGGACACACAGTTGAGTTTGCAGCAAATCACTGGTTTCTACTTTTCTTCTCATGTCCTCGGTTTCTCCACCTGCCATTTGAGAACTGGCCCTAAAATGAAAAGATATCCTGAGGGTGCTCTCCAGTCCCAAAACCAAGCCAGCAGGAATGATAGCTGAAACAACTAGTCCACATCATGAGATTCTTGGACTGCCTGGTATATAGCAGTGCTCTGGCAGTGGATGTGACCTACACAACCACACAGGCAGAGGAAGATTCAGCATCATCAATGAGCTCACTATTCTCAGGGCTATCAGAAGAGTTTTCAGTGGGTGCAAGATATTGTGGAGTGAGGGACAAAGCAATGAGAAGTAAAGCCAGGTACTGGGATGGGAAGAAAGAATTAGGTGGATGTCATTGGGCTGCACTCCAACTGATAACCCCTGCAACTTCTCTAAGTCTTTCCAGAAGAAGGAACTAAGACATAGTAGCTAAGTACATCTGCCATACTTAGCAGAAAAGTAAGATGCCTGCATTTATTATTTCACAGAAAATATGGACTGGGAAGCTATTGTAAGGAACAATGTATATAGCAAGAAAATAGCAACGAACAGGAGTCAAGGAAAAGATGACATAAATAGTGTTATAATAAAGTAGGGTGAGTTTGTAATGAAGATCTCTGGACCTCTTTAAGAACAAACAGAAAGTCATCTACTGCCTATACTGTGCAAGATACCAAGGGAATTTCGAGTCTGCTCTCTGGGATCTCATAGTTGAATGATGTTCTCTTTCTAACACCAACACCTGTGAAAACAGTCATGACATATCACAGTTTGACTTTACTTGTTTTTACCCAAAATAGATAATAGGCTACTACAGCAGTTTCTTGTTTACATGACTGAAAGGAACAAAGGAAAATAGTAGAAGAAACCCTCTGAGCCACAAGAACACACCTTACAGCAATGCAACAAAATTTTTAGGTATTGGCAAACTACAGAAGAGAATCCCAAGCCCTGCAAAAACCAGGGTTGATGTAGCTTATTCCAGTCTGAAACAACAACACCAACAAAAAAGAAAAGAGATCATGAATATATAAACAGATTCACACCAGAATGAAGTAGATATATTACTCAATTAAATGTCTAAATCTGTATAATAAAGCATTAATATTGAAACCTACTATTAAATAAAATTAGAAAGCCACTTCCTCACACCTTCTTTAATGCAAATCTTTTCTGGAGTGATTTCACATAGGTGTCTCATTTAATTATTTTCCCTATTTACCTGTTAGTAGTGGCACAATAAATAGACATTAAAAATGTAAAGAAGAATAGAGACATTCTGGGGCTGATACAAGTATATTATATTATATGTGTACAGGTAATCAGTAAATATTACTGTTAATTATTCATTATTATGAAGCATGCAGGTCATAATAAGAAATCATCTCTTCCCTAAAAACACAAGAATATGAACAAGTAGTCACAACAGAAATTATAGAGAAGACCAGCATGAAAATCATTAAGTGTTACGATTCAAAATATCTTGTGAGCCTGGAGTATAAAGTATCTCGACAGGTATCTGCCACCTTCTTTGAGCACTTTGCCTGAATATATATTTCACTCCTCGCTCTGCATTAGTTCTTGCTGGATTAGCCCATGAGGAAGGACACATTTGAGAGAAGAATCAGAAATGTCCCCACAGAGGAGCCTTGGGCCCTGTATGCCGGTCACATTCAGCCCACAGGGTGTGGCTGCAGTAGCTAGGGCTGTGGAAGTGTCACCTATCTTGCCCAGTTTACATCCTGGTACAGCCTGCAGCTCCTGCCAGTGGCAAGGTGCTATGTGCGCTGCACAAATAACGGAAAGCAGGTCCCGGGGGAGCACCAAGCAGTTCCAGAAAATGTTCAAATGGTGAATCTCCACACCCAGGCAGCAAAGAATCCAGGGAAGAGTTTTGTACGGGGAAATTAGAACAGAAGCAACGCGGTTTGTGAAAAATCAGTAGTTAAGAAAGATACTGGGTTTTTAAAAATTCTCTTTAAAATAAAAAAAAGAAAGATAAACGTGAAGCTATAATGTAAGAGTTGAGCAAATATTTTTCAAAGGCTAGCAATATTATAATCAGGGTCAGTCTGAAAATGAATTTTTATTTTTTTATCTTCAACACGAAACATATTAAGTTAGTAGTGATCTGGTACATTTTGTTCCAGATCTGCCACAAAGTAATAAACAGACTATAAATAGAAAAATTGATATGCATGTCAGTACGTTGTTCTGACGATGTTAGGAGTTTTTATCCATATTATTAATCTGTTTTCAGCATGAGGAATAAAAAAACCTCTTACAAAGAACAATCCTCATGACTCACAATTAAATCAGCATTTTAGGCAGAAGGAGGTCAAATTAGTAACCTTCGCATGACAGAAAAATTATGATGCTTTCTGTTGCATAGGTCTAGCTTCTGTATGCAAATTATACCTAGGAAAGTAGTTCTTAGATCAAGACAAAACTAAATCGGCATTAAAGGAGAGAGAAATAATTCACTCTGAGCTTTCTTAACGTTCACAGAAAAGAATTTAAATGCCCAGAAGTTTTCTATCCCACATTGAGAAGCTGGGAAATGAACACTACAGGGATGTAAGGTTTCCCAGGTATTTCTCCAGGGGTTGAACCTCACTGTGTCTGCGGAGGAGGCCTGAACTTGACAGCATCACGCACTGTTACCCCGATCAGCACCCCTGGCTGCTCCTCTCCTTCCGGGCGGCTGACGCGGCTTGCTCGTGCCCCGCATCCCTGCCCTGCGCGGCGCACCTGCCGCCCTGTGCCACCATTTCCTAGAACCCGCGCGGCAGCGTGCGGAATCTGCCTGAAACCTGCCTTTCCGGAGGGGAGATGAAAGTTAGCCTGCCCTCCAGCGCAACTGCACCATGGCAGCGCCGGCGGAGTCGCCTGGGCCTCCGCGCCTCCTTCAAGCCCTGGCTCTGCTCCCCACTTTCCCTCCTCTCGCCCTCCCTAAAATAGTCTGGGGGTGGAGGAAGGGAGGCTCCCGGAATCTGCTCAACCCCCTGCATTTCCCAACTCATAGTAGCGACGGCACCGACCATCACAAGAGGGTGGCTGCTTTCGCTTCGGCATCACCAGAGCCGAGGATGTGCCGCGAACGGAAATGACAGCTCGGGGAGGGGTATTCGTAGGGCTCTCTGCGTGCGAGCTGCGAAGAGGCTCTCCAGCCCCTCGTCTCCTTGTCCACGAGCGTGACACACATGCACACCGCCGCCACCTCTTCCTCCCACCCGGCGCGCAGAGCTCAGCTTGCACGCGCAAAGTTGCTCGCAGTGCGACTGCGGCTCGTTCGTCCTGAACCAGCCTCCCTCCGGTTCCTCTCTGGGTTTCTCTCGGGCTGAGCTGTTACCTTCTCAGGCGGCCTCTTTCGGTTCCCAGCAGCGAGGCGACGCGAGCAGGCGAGCGCTCCTCCTGGCGCGGCGGGGCGCGGGCGCGCGGCTGTCCCCGGCCTGTCGCCGGGGCTCGGGCGCGGTCTGCAGGCTGCAGGGAGCCCGGCCGCCCTGGTGACCGAGTGCAACAATCCCAGCCGCGCTCGGGCCCGCGCCTGCCCGGCTGGCGCGCACACCCTGCCTCGCTCGACCGCTTCCTCCCCCGGCTGCACCCTGGGGGATTAGGCCTCCCCCGTCCCGCCCCTCGCAGCTTCGCTCCTGTCAGAAGGGAAGGTCGCCCAGGAGGGCTCAGCCTCCCGCGGGGACCCAGCGCCACCCCTGGGCCGCCACACCCCCTGCTCTGCCCCGCTCCCTGGGCCGGGGATGCGCCCTCCCCGGCCGAGCTGGGGGCGGGACCTGGAGACTTGGGCAGCCGCCCCCTACCTGCCTCGGAGCGAGGCTTGGCTCTGGCTGCTTCTCTGCAGTCGCAGGTCCTCCCGGTGAGCCGCCCTGCTGGCCTCTGCACGAGGTCCCCCTCCTAGCTGCCCAGGAGGGGAGGGAATGGCCCAAAGCGGGGACCTCCTCTTCTGCGGCCCAGAAGAGCCCGGCTGCCCTGGCTGCTAACTTTTGCACAGGTTGCCCCCGCACCGCACCGCTGGTGTCTCTGAGCAGAGCCTGTCTGGAAAGGCCGGGAAGTCCCCTGAAGGTTCCATGAAGGACTGAAGCAGGTCGAGGAGCGCATTCCTCCGCCTCCTTGTGAACCGACCTGCAGGAAGATCCCACCACCTGACTTTTGAAGCTGCCCGGTCAGCAACACAATTGGAGAACCTAGTCAACCTTGGAATTTTGTTGCTGTGTTCCTAAAGCTTACATTTCTTGAGAAGGTACTCCACACCTGAATCATACAAAATCTCATTTATTAAGATAATTCTTAAGGGGAAAAAAGCTTTGGGTCCTGTAGAGACACTATACACATTGTGGGCCACGGGAACCCTTTACTAGTCCTTCTCACTCCCAGGATAAGAGAGATTCCAGGGTTGCCCAGTAGCACTGAGGAGAATTGTTTTGTTGTGGTTTTACGGTTTCCAAGCAAAGTCAAACACAGCCTCTGTTCAACAACAATAAAGGCCAAGTCTAACAGGATTACTGCAGCTAAAATAATGGAAGCTTGTTGCAGTAAGCTTAAAAAATAAGTATCCTTTGAATGTTCAATTGGGATACAATGATTCTGATTCCTTAAATTCCAGGAAGGCCAGTTCCTAAAGAGGATGCAGTTTCTTTCCCCGCCTGCTTTTCTCTTCACCTGCAGCCAACATTCCCACTATTAGCTGTTTATTTTCTTCAGATTCTTTCCTTGGTTCCACCAAAGTATGATTATGATCATAATAATGTTTGAAACCATTTTGGCAAACCAAGCCGATGTCTTCTCTCCCCTTGCATTTATGAGTTTTTTAGAGACCGAGGAATGACTCTCTAATTGCAGGACTTGATAATCAGGAGTCTGAGGCTGGAGGGTGGGGGTCCTGGTTTGGGATCACTATCACAGGCTACTGAAGGGCAACACAGGAGAGATGGTTAGGTAATCTCTATGGCAATGGTTGCCCAGACGCCCTCATGGGCATAACCAGAACCTAGGCGTTGCAGAGAGAGCGTAGTGTCCTGGTCAGCATCTTCTCTCTCTGCCCAGGTGCCACCAAAGCCAGGTCCACCCTTCAGGCTTTCTGCTCAGAAGGAAGGGCTGTGCTATCTCAGTTCTTCCCACCCTTATCTTCTCAGAACCTGTCCACACCACTGGATCTTGAAGATGAAGTAGGGAGAAATTGTACAAACTTGATATTCTGTGTGTTCAGGAGCTGCTTCCTGGGGCTCACTCACTTGAGATGGCCTGAAGTTCCACTCCCAGCAGTCTGGACTTGACTAGAGCTAACTTCTACCTTCTCAGCCTCAGACAGGCAGGAGCAGGGCGTGCCTGGCTGGCATATCTTCCCTATTGATCCCAGCTTCCACCTTCAGCTCAACCTCATTTTCCATAGAACACGGAGCACATTTGAGACATTTAGAAGGGCTTGCCTTTTCACTCTCGCTGGGAAAAGTGCAGCTGCTTTCTTTAATTTAATCTAATGATTGCAAGAACACCTGCTATATACCAACTATTGCCCTGAGCTCAGGAGCTGCAGAGGTCAGCAACACCTGACCTGCTTCCTGCCTTCCCTACACTCATGGTATAGCTAGGGAGAGACATCAAAGAAACACATGAATACTTAAAAAATCCCATTCTCTAAGAAAAAGTCTAATGTTGTTATGAGAATTTTCCATGAGGGGAATTAAGTTATTTCAGAGATCAGAAGACTTTGCTCAGGAGAGATAGCTGAGCTTTGATGTACGGGAAGACGACATTAACTAGGGAAAGGGAAGCTGGAGGCTGGGGGAGCATCCAGGCAGTGGGCTAAGCATGCGCACAGGATTTGGGGAAGGATGTGCACTGTGCATTTGATGAACTGAGGAAGACACATGTGGCTGGCTGCAGAGGAGTGGGAGGGTGAAGGAGGCAGCAGGTGTGGGGAGGAATGGGCCCAGTGAAGCTCAACATAGAGCTCTTCAAAAACCACCCCGAAGAGATGTATTTTTATATTGTGCCACTGAAGTCATCTTCTCATATGGTCTCATATAGTGGCACAACTGAATTAGATTTACCCTTTGAAATTTTCTCTTTGGATAAAAGGTGGAAAACAGATTAGAAATTGGGGCCAGAATCTATGGCCATGCACCCATTAGGAAGGAACTGCAGGAGTCATTTAGAAAAGGATCATGGCATGCATTATTAGCGTGAGGGTGGTGGAAACAGTGGATGCATTTGAAAGACACTACAGATGAAACAGGGCCTAGGATCACAGGTGCAGCTGCAGAATGAATGGTTATGTACCCCACCTTACCTCAATTCATATGTTGAAACCTAATTGCTAATGGATGGTGGTGGTGCCTGTGAGAGGTTGGTAGGTCATGAGGGTGGGGCCCTCATAAATGGGATTAGTGCCTTTATGAGAAAGTCACAGAGTGTTCTTTGAATATTCTACCTTGTGAGAACCTTGCATGAACATATCAATGAACCAGGAGGTGGAACCTTCAGACATGGAATTTTCCAGGGCCTTGATCAGGGACCCCTGTAACCCTTCAGAGTTGTGGGAAAGTACATGTCATTTAAAATCCATCCTATGAGTGGTATTACATTAGTACAGCCTGCTGCTCCTAAGACATGAGCCAAAAGAAGTTGGAAGAGTCATACTTAATCAAGAGAGTGGGCAAAATCTTGGATTTTAGGCAAGAAAGTCTTAAGTTTGAGTCCCAGCTCTACCATTCACTACCTGTGTGATTTTTAGCTGGCAGTTTGCCTCTCATGAATTTTTTTTATCAACCTGTGAGTCAGGATCATAATAGTATTTCATTCACAGGCCTGTTGAGATTAAATGAGCTAAAACCTAGAAAGCACTTAGTACTTTAGTACCTGGCATGTAGTCAATAAATGCAAAATGCAATTAGCAGCATTATTCTTGTTACAGGTATTAGTACTTATATTCTACATGTCTCTCAAGTTGGAAAATAAAGGGAAAATTATCAGTCTCTACCTCACCTTGCAGTAACTTGACTGAGCTTGGACACCAGCTCCAGAGAAGAACAAAATATAACCCCAGCGCCAGCATAGGCTGAGATAGCTGCCAGGATATCTGTCTTCTTCGCAATTTATACAGAATGCTGTCCTCATGTCACTGTGGCTGGACCCCTGATATCCTCTCTGCTTTGATAGGAGCTAGGAAAGTACAGCAAACTTGCACATTGCTTTCAGCTCAGCTGTATCCCAATGCCTGCCTTGTCATGCTCCATATACTTGTAAAATAGGAGTTATCATGCCCATATGAAATCAGCAAATAATTATTTCTGTCATTGCCATTTCTATTTTATGCAATTGTGCTAATATTATGGAAAATTACAATATGTAAAAGCTGTTCATTTCTCAAAAGCAGCTGTCCCTACCAGAGGTAGACTGTAACTCACACAAGCACATGTGCAAACTAATAAGCGTCTCTCTTCCCCGACTTCCCTTACACAAACTTACCTGTCCTTGAAGGCAGTTATTATGGACATGGCAATAAACTGCTAAGCAAAACATCTCTCTTACTTTTTAAAAGTAAAGAGAGATGGCATCTCCCAGGGTCTGGATGGAGTCAGCAACAGTCTGGTTTGGAGTTAGAAACTTGGGAACCTCTTGCTGGTAATGGGCTCAAATGGCCTGAATGCCATCTGCTAAACAGGGAAGAATGGGCAGGAAAAAGGGGCTGACTTTTTCTGGTAAAGAAGTGTCAGGCCCTACGAATTTAAGTCTCAAAGGATTCAAATTCACCCAAATCATCTAAAATGTCTGTTCCCCCAATTTTCAGAGTTTACTCTTCGCAGTAAAGACCTATCTTTCACATAAGAGACCTAGCAAGGTTTTGAGTTCATCTTGCACAATAATTTGCAACCTGTAGGAACTGCAGGAACTGAATTTTGCTTTATCAAGCACGCGGCTGTGAGTGCAGGTGTTCTAGCGGCTCTCTGCTTCTCTGCTTATGCCTTGATCTAAAAATGTGATGCTTCTGAATTTGTCCCTTTCTTCTTAGGGTCACTGGTACAGTCAGAAGTAGCTGACTTACCCCACAGTCCTTCCTGTTCTCTTTTGTATCATGAGATTGTAGAGCAGGAACCAGCTTAATGTCCTAACATCTTGTCGTCTACAGGCTCTTTACCTCAGGATTCCATAGGAGTTGATTTAAGCAGCTGCTAATCGTCATCCTCCAGGTCGGCTTAGAATTCTATATTTCTTGGCCAATGAGGTCATCACTGTTGGCAAATGCAAGCAGGAAAAAAAAAAAAACAACAGGAGTCCCACCTTTGAAGCAGTGTCAGCATGACACATTGTGTCAGTACTCCTTAAGGAAAAGGAACTTGAAGGTTCAATACATGGAGTTCAGTGTTAAAAAGTCTTCAAAAGATTGGAGAGATTGCAGGGCTGCCTTTGCTTTTCAGGTAGCACCACTGTGGCTGCACCCAAACTCAGCAGGTTGCTGCTGCCACCCAGAGGTCAAGATACTGCAGCAAACCACCAGCAGCATCCATTGGGCAGCCTTGCTCTGAGGCACTTCTTGCTAATGAAGCTGGGGTTCCGCCCTCCACTGCAGAACGACTGGCACCGCAGCTGCAAGGAGGTTTCCCAAGTCCTCCTTACCTCCTGAGTCTCATGTGAAAGCACCGGCAGAATGCAAACTCTATTCAATCCCCTGAGAAACAGCAGCCTGAGAAATGAAGGTCCCAGACTTCTAACCCCAAAGGTATAAGAGGGAGAGCGGAGAAAGTTTAATGAACAAAAATTGCTGGCCGACAAACAACATACAGTGCAAATACAGCCTTGAGCTGGACAGGTTAATGCAAATGTTTATTTAAAGTAAAACTCAGGGACCTCACTTTAAAAAGTTGAATATTTTTCATCTAGTATAACTCTCATTAATATGAGGACTCATTAAATTTTAGTTTACAACTATTTTTAAATGAAACACAAAACATTTATTTCAGCATTACTGATAAATTTTAGGATGATAGTATTAATTCTCTAGTGTCTTTCTTTGTCACTTCCTCCCCAGGCTTTCTTCAGGATCTGCTTTTGTTAAATTATTGTTGTCCTTCCCTTTTCTTGGCCAGCCACTCCCCCGATAACAGCCATGGCCTTGTCTTTATCAACAATGATAATTATTTGCAATATAATCTAAATAAAAAATACATCATTTGTTGACCATTGCTTCCTTTGTTTCTAGTCTTATGTCTCTAGTTTTTCAATCCTCATGCTGAATGAGAATGTATGTCCATGGGTGAAAATATTACAGGCCTTACAAAGACTTTGCTTGAATTCTTCAATTCAATCTTTTGGAAATTATTAGGGTAGGTCTTTTCTTTAATGAAACAAGGCTCTTGAGTTTCATATTCTAGAAAATTATTATAATACACATACCAATCATAAGTTTTGAATATGAATGGCACCCACTTGAAAGAGGTATTCTTAAGTGTGTGAAGTGCATAACCCACATTAACCATACGTAGCAACTCAGTGATCTACAGTACTCTTTCTTTATCTGTAGTTCTGCCTTCTGAAGTTTCAGCTACCTGTGGTCAACCATGGTCTTAAAATAATAAATGGAAAATTCCAGAAATGCATCATTCATAAATTTGAAATTGTACATCATTCTGAATAACATGATGAAATCTTGTGTTGTCCTTTTCTATCTGCCCAGGCTGTATCCATGGATAAGGGGAAGCTACTGAATTTATCCTACGATATTTTGTATTGTTCTTCATCTTCACGTTCACTCCCCTTAAGCTGAGTTGCAATCCATGTTTACCCAGCACACTCACCCTCTTCATTCACTGTCTTCTCACCTTGTCAAATTCACTTGGCCAAACCACATTCCTGGTTAAATTCAGTTCAGCCTCCTTTATTCACACTGCTGAACAAAGCTGGGGAGACACCCTCATGCAGACTGGTCTTTGCATTCCTGCTCACCAAGGTAAATGTCCCCAAATCCTCTATGTATCTCATCAATACCTCCTTCCACTTCCACAAATATTTCATGCCTCTTCCCATCTCCTCAAACTTCCAAAATGTCTTTCACATTGAAATTTTCAGCTGATAATCTTGCTTGAACATTTCAAGCAATCAAGAAAATTTCAATGAGCTCCCACCAGCATCTTCCAGGCACCGTCTCTCTCAGTGCTCATACACGGCATCCAAACTTGTCTTTGATTGTTTTGAATAAATTTTTATCCTTCTAGCTAAGGTGAGCTCCTCCACTTACATTCTTGATCCACCTTTTCCAGCCAGCATATTTTCCTCCCTTCCCAGAGCCATTACTTTTTCTATCTACCAGTTTATCGCATCAACAAGTAAGCAGCTGCTATTACTCCCATAGTATTAATAATTTTAGAATGGTCATCACCTGAGCTCCAAATACAATCTCATTTCTCTCCTTGCTTTCAGGGGGGGGAAACTTTCTTAAAGAACTGTCCCTCCCACTGTTGGCAATTTCTCTTCTCCCTCCAGCTTTTGAATTCATTGAAGCTAAGCCTTCCTTCATTCCCTGTGCCCCACACTATCTAGCCATCCGATGACTTCTTTGCCAATTTAAGTTGTTTGATCTCTGGCCCTTTCTTCACTTACTAGAATCATTGGCCACTGTTATTTACCCTTTTCTCCTTAAAGTACTTTCCTACTCTGGCTTCTGAACCACTCTCTTCCCTTTCTTGCTTCTTTTGGTTGCTTCTCCTTTATCTCCTATGCTATTTCCTTCTTTTCTCCCATCCTGAAGATGCTGAAGGACTGAGGGCTCTATTCACAGAGCTTTTCCAGCCACACTAATTTCTGGGCAGTCTTAGTTAGCTTTATGGGTTATGTATCATGAAGATGCTGTTAATTCCCACATTTAAACTTCTAGCCAGACCTCTCCCCTGAACTCCAGAATTATTTATTCAATTGCCTGCTTGGGATTTCCACTGGTTCTTTAAAAGTTATCCCAAACAAAATAGGCCCCCAATGAGGCCCTTGGTCATTTCTTCCCAACCTGCCACTCTTCCTGTCTTCCTCTCTTCAGTGTGTGGGAATTCTGTGTTTCTCAGTTGCTCATACAGAAGTCCTGATCTTTCCTTTCTTGCTTCTCACCTTCAGGCAGTCAGCAAAGCACACTGACTCTGTCTTTAAAAACTATCTACAAAATGTCCTTGTTCTTAAAAAAGGTAAACTGAAATACCTTGTGGCAGCAACTCATGGTGTTTTTAACATGCTCTTATGCAGATCAGGAAAGGTAACCTAAGGAAAGAAAGAGAGGGACAGAGAAGTAAATGGGGCAAAAAGTGAACAATTGACAAATCTGACTAAATAGTATGTGGGAGATCTGTGTAATGTCTTTGAAACTTCCCAGTAGGTTATCAAATTATATCTATAATCCTTCACTCAGCATCTCACTTGCTATTACCTTACATCATCATCACTGGCTTTCAGGCTATTCTTAATGTAATTGTCAGATATATCTTATTTCAGCATAAGCCTGAAGATGTTATTCCTTTGTTCAAAACTCCCAATAGCATTCCATCTTACTCAGAGTGCCAGATGAAGTCCCTTTGTGATCTATGAGGCCCTATATGATTTGCTCCTACCTTCCTATTAATGCTAGCCCCAACTACAAATCTCTTCACTCACTGCTCTGCAGCTACATGTATTCCTTGACATTTCTGAAGGTTTCTAGGAAGGTTCCTGCCTCAGGACATTTTTATATGATGCTCCTCTGTCTTAAAAATTACTCACCTACCTTATGCCCTAGATTTTTCAGTTCTTTTATCAAATAATCACCTTCTCAGTAAAGTCTTTCTTAAATGTCTTACATAATAATTTAAAATATCCTTACATTGGCTTGAATATTCTTTCTCACATGCTTTATTTGTTTCTCCAGCACTTAGCACTAACATTGAATTTACTTTTTTACCTGTCTAGTTTATTTTCTTCCTATCTCTAAATTATAAGCTTTATGAATGCAGATCTTTTTTGTTTGTAAACTTTGATATTCCCTGCATTCAAAACAGACACATAAAAGATACACTTAATAAATACTTCGAAGAGTAAATGTGTACTTATCCAATTTTACTATGGTTTATAGAATTCTACCTATCACCAAATATCTAGTTATATTATTATCAAATCCACTGATAATTGGCTATACAAGTCTCTGGGATGTTCTGACCCTTAATGGGCCATCAAAACAGATTATCCCACATTTTATGACATAAAGAGGTACAAAAAGATATTTGTCTTTCTTTTTAGCTCCTTGATTCTACTTTTCATTGACAATTTTCAGCAACTCAGAAGTACTTCTGTCATGATACCTTTGGCTATGGACATACAATTCTATGCCTGATAAGTAGATATTTCTGAAATCCCCTGATAATCACATCTGAGAGTGCATGCTTTTCTTTGTTTCCTTGGGTTTGTGTAACTCTCTAGGTATGTTGAAACCTTTTCTTTGTCCTTCATCATATATTAACACATCTATCATTTTCTGTTTTTTTTCTCTCTCTTTTCTTGACAGATTGTAACATTGTCAGGATACCTTTAAGAGTTATTTTAGGGGACCACAATTCTATTCAGCTTGTGTATGAAGACTTCACTGAATACTGTTTGGAACTGAGCATTTGTTTACAAGATAACTGTGCCAGTAATGACATCAGGTCAAGGATGAGTTTGCACTGGGAAATGATCGTGTGCACTGAAAACTTCTTAATTGGATTGCTATAAAGTGTTCCACACTGGCTGAATAAACTCACTAGCACAGATTTATGGGCCACTGGAAGTATTCCAAGGAGCCTCTAAAAAGGTAAGCAGATCCTTGTTCATGAATTTCTTCTTCCTGGTTTATTTCACTCCACACACCTATTTTGATGTGGAAAATTTGTGTGAAATCATCATAACCCAATTTCCATGTGAACCTGTGTCAGTTCAGACTCATTACAATACAAGTAAAACAAATCCAGCTGACACTCAGAAACAATACAGAAGATACAACAGCTCATAACAATTCAGAAGGATCGGTCTCAGGATGCACCCAAAGCTTTCATCAGGGATCTGGTTCTTTTGTATTGCTAGGTCTTCTGCTGCTACACATCGGGCTCTTTCCAAGATGACTCTTCTCATGTCCATTGTATACCTACTGACACTAATTTGGCCACCACATACCTCTTGGTTTATCCATTGAGAGAAAAGGTATTTATGTCTAAACTTACAGGTAAATGTCTTAAAATTTAACAAAGTTGGACTAGGTTGAATTATGTGCCCCAAACCCCCTTCACACTAATCATTGTGTCCACGAGGAATAAAATGATTTAACTGACTTTTACCCAATCAGAACCCACCTCTGGTACTAAGCTTGACATAGTATCTTCCCAAAGCACATGGTCTACAAGGCAAGATTTAGATAACCTGTATTTGTACCCAAAAGAGACATAAGGCAGGTTCACTGGATTTGGGATAATTCCTGGTGAAGTGTCTGTGCTTTTGTCTCACTCAAAGGGTCAAATTGCAAAGTGTGAATGGGGCACAGTTAAACCATAAAGCATAATATAGAAATCTGAAGTGACCAGTAATAAAGTCATAGCTAATCTTGGGCCAGAGGAACACAAGGAGGGAGAGCTCACTGGAACCTGGAAGAAGAGTTCTGTAGCATTAACATACTGGTAGGAGTAGGGATCCTCTAAGGATCATAGGAATTTCACAGGAGCTTAGGGAGGAAGACAGAAGAATTAAGAGGAATTAATAATCTAATGTTCTTCTTCTCTTTCTTCTTGTACCTTTCATTGCCAGACAAAACCAGAATCCTCAGGATAAAGGAGCATTGTGATGTCCATGCTGGACACCCTTCTAGGAAGGACTACAGCTCGGAAATGACCAAGAAAGAGGAGGAAGGACCAATGGAGTATATTGTGCATTGTGTCTGAGTCAAAGCCAGACTGTGAGGTAGGCCAGATAAAGCAATAAAACCTGAGAAGGCAACTATCCAATATTCCCTCTAAGACCAGGCGATTCACTCATCTTACCAAGAATCAGGAACTTTTAAGATACACTGACTGCACCTAGTATTCCAAAAGAAAGTGGATGTAGTCTCTTGAAATTGTTTATAAAATCACATTATTTTTATGCTTTGATTTAGACATAAACGTTCCCCAAAGTCTCATGTGTTAAGAGCTGGGGCCTTTGGAAGGTGA